AAGGCGACATCCCCTGGACTGCCGAGGTGGCAGGCGGATGCGTATGCGAATTAGAATAGATAGTTCACTTTACAATCTGCATCAAAGCAACCAACACTGTTCAATACACGTTGGTTTTCGGGAGTTCCAGCTCCCAAATCGCGAGCACGTCACAATAACAAACGCTTTGTTTCGATCATTCTCTGGAGCTAATGTCGTGTGTTGCCCGAGAAGCTCTGGATATTGACGACAGAACGCGCTTCCTTACCAGGGCAGCGTCTTCATCCCCACGATAACTTTGGAGTATCGACTGATGGCCGTACTGGCGGTAGCGAGGCGAGGATCTCGTGCGTGTGGTGTTAAATATTTTGGTTGCGATTAGAGAAATACTTTTATTTTCTTTCACTGTAGCGCGAACGAAGTATAGAGACCAACGGCTTCAGCAATCCCTCCTTAACAATGTTACTTTCCTCGAGCTACCAATCGCACTTACTAGACGCAGTTTTCTCACTTTTCAAAAAGCCTATTAGCAGCTAGAGTTTGGTCAAGCTAGACACCACCGAACTGGTATGAACAATACACTGGGTTAGTTCCCTCCTCGGCTTTGTGCTACCTTCGCCGTCATGGTGGTGCGCATGGTCAAGTTCATCGGATTTGGCGACACATTAGCTTGCTTAGATGTCGTTCTTGTCCGACTGGGTGAACATATACCATTACGAGATAAGGTTTCGAAGGTTAATATTTCGGAAATGCTACAGTCCATACGTCGCATCCGTGTAATGTCCAGCTCACCATCCATGTATTGTCCACGATTGTAAAATATTTTATTTGGTAAGTTATAAAAGAAACCGAGTCATAACTATCCAGGTAACGTCCATGCGTCCGATCCGAGTAACGTCCATTGCGTCCAATGCGCGTATCGTTCAGCTGATCATCCGGGTAATGTCCATGCATTCAATGCACGTATTGTCCAGCTCATGTTGGAATTCATATCGTCGATGTGGCAGTTGAAGACATTGAAGGTCAACGACTGAGAAAGGTTAGCTGCTACGAGATGCTGCGTATCAAAAGATAAGCGCAGGAGTGCTGTTGAGAGTAAAGTGAAGGAAGAAGCGACGAGACGCAGCTTGAGAAGCTGATACAGAGCGCTTAAACAATTGACGAACCTCAGGGAGCAGCGGCACTAACAAACTTAATCTCACTTTTCATTTTCCTCTTTAAGTGTGAGGCTTTCGGTCATACGACTCACAACAGCTCACATCCGTGTATTGTCCACGGCCCTAGTTTTGCCCACGACTACAGCTGACTACTTCGAAGGATGAGTTATAGTCTATAACCAATTCAGCGGTAGACCCCATGTCACCGGTATACCGGTATTGTACCGATCACACCAGCCTATCGTTTGCATCTCAAACACAAACTTGACCCCCCCCCCTTTGAGCCAGCTTTCTGGAAAACCCGGGTTTTCTAAAAAAAAAAATATTGGATGGGTCGAAGGGATTGTTGGGGTGGTTGGGTAATGGGTTTTTGTAACCATATTCGCTTTAAAGAACAGTGCCTAGTCACTATTATGAAAATGGTGTCAGGAACACAGGAGCAGGTGGACCCGTCTAGTAGTGATGAAGAAGACGCCGGAAGTTCGGCCAGTCGTAGACGCCGCGGTGGAGGATTGTTTGCTACGAGAAGTGGCGACACTGCTGTGAGTTTGCTCTCGAGAAGGTGCGGGCTAAGCGCTGGATTAATGCGGCCATATTCTATCTGGTGCAGTGGGTAGTTTACCATGAACTGACATGGGAGCCTGTAGCCAACATTCCGTCCGGTCTGAGCACGGCCGCTTCGAGGCTGAGATGGAAGCCGCCAGCATGGCAGCGACCGGGACTCTGCTTCCGTGGGTGCGCCAAAGGTGTCCAATCGTCATGCGTGGCTTCTGTGACTCGTCAGTGGAAACCTACTGTTTTCCTTCGTCGAGATGGAGACGACAAGAAGGTGACAATGTCTACTCTTCATAATTTCTTAATCTGTTTTTACTAAGTGCTATTTTGTGTTAGGTACACCAACTTACCGGCTATGTGCGAGGAGACCATCACTT